TATACTCATTGCTCGTTATTGTTATGATCTCTTTAAACATATATATAGATCATAAAAATAATGAAAAACAGGAAATAAAAGAAGCCCGTAACAGGTGCTGTTAAGGCAGCCTGACACATTGCAGTTCTATGGAAATGCTTGAAAGAAAGGATGATCAGATCCGGTGCTACGGCTGCAGGCGGCTTTGAACAGAAACGTCAGAGCGCAGGGCCTGTGTCAGGCTGCAGCCCTGCTGTGTGCCTCACGCAGGACTTCCTATTTTTGTTCATTTACTAAGAAATTCCGATTTTGAACTAAGGTAGAGTTACATATAGCATGAGGATCTTAAAATGATGATGACTGAAATTTTGACACAAAAAAACTGGACTGGTAAAGTGTAGAATTAGAATGTAGAATTCCTCGGTTTACTAATGTTCCATTGTGGAGTTCATAGTTGCTGCAGATCAGATAAAAAAATAAATAAATCTGAAATTGATGAATATTTGTTTAAATAGATAAATAAAAGTATAATTTTTTCAAATGAGTAATTTCAGTAAATATACAGAAGCTCACAAGAAATGACGCTCACCACAATCAAGGAGGATAATGGTTAAACTGTGGTACAGGATGTTGTCCAACATCAGATTTAGTGTGTCTTTTTTCTTTGGCTTTACTGGCTACATTTGTGTCAGAATCTCATTCTAATTTAATTAAATTTTAACCTTTTCAAATGTTCAAGATTTTTGAGAAAAACTATTAAACAGTGCTCATATTTAAACACTGAGTGAGGGAAGAGACACACTTTCCAGAGTTCTGAATGAGAATCAGTGCAGAGGAGCACTGACACTGATGTGGAATCTCATTTGTCAGCAGTCTGTATGCTATATGCATTATTTTGTCTATTTAGTTATTGTTTGGTAAATGATTTATTTGTTCATAAAAGATATACATTAGGACATCCGGGAAATAGATATTTGATGTCGTGTATGGTTCTGTTGACGCTGCTTCAGTGATGTCAAACCTTCAGCATGAGCAACGACGCCGCTAAACTGAGAGAACATTTAAAGTCGAATGAAATGAGATGATCTGAATGAAAACAGGAAATTTCTACTCATTCAGTAGTTTGCAGTTTCATGAATGCATGCAGCTGTGTCATCTTAAAACGAACCCCAGTCCAAAAGTTACGTCTCTAAATATATATATTTAATGCAACTGTTTCCAATATTCAAGTGTGAGGAAGCACTTTGATTTTACCGATCCTTCTGAACGATATATGGACCTCAACTCAGTTTTACGTTCCAAGAACCTGAAGGACATGTGTTTATTAGTTGCCACTGCACAACTGACAAGTGAATATGGTGTTGTAATATCCCATTACTTATTTACAGTGCGTGCTGGGTTGGAGAAGACAAAGCCTGTATACTTTTTCATAAGTGCCTCATGTGCTCTGCAGTTGGTCAGTGTATAAATGATGGATGTAGCAGGACAGGACAGTGTGAGACACAGAGAAACTGTACAAGACTGTTTTTTCCTGTGTGAATGAACACAACACTATATACTAGGCTCTGTTCCTGTTACCAGATGTTCTTCATTAGCTTGATGAACATGAAAACACATGTCACCTCTTTTGAGTAGCTGTGTGTACCAAGGAGTTGTAATTATTGCATGGCTGGGTATGAAAAGAGGCTCCAGCATTGAGAGCCTTATTCACACTGCGCCATTGTCCCAGTGCTTCTTCTTGTCATCTGCTGAGCTCTTCATCTGATCACCATTTGCCAAACAGCTGACGCAGAGACTGAAGAGGGTTTAGGCTAAAGTCTGAGTGGCAGGCCAGTGAGCCCAATAAATGCACGTTTCTCCCCAACTCTGGTCACAGAAACAGTCGGGACACGGCAGGATCCACATGCTGCAGGGTTACTAAACTGTTGCTGTTGTACTTTCTGCTCAAACCTTCCTCATGGACAAACTGGTATTGTCACATTACTTGTCTTTGTGCCTTTGCTTAACTGCATAATGGAACTCATACTGGACTTTAATGGACATTCCTTTTGTCTTTACCCTCCTCTTTCTTCCCTGCTTCATTTCCTTGTACCTGTCCACAACCTCTCAGAACCCAGCGTCCTGGAGAGACATGGATGATTCCCATTCCACTCCCTCTGTGGGTACTCCAGGACCATCCAGTGGGGGACACGTTTCCCAGAGCGGAGACAACACCAGCGAACTTGGTAAGAGTGCCTTCAGGCCTTCATAACAAAGGTTTGACTTTGTTGTGACCTCACTCTTATGCACGGGCCCAGCTGATTGGTGATTCTGGGGGAGCATTTCAAGAAAGACAACACTCTTAGTTTATCTAATCACTTTAGCTTAATTGCATTGATTGATAAAACAGATGATTTAAGTTCATGGAAGCCTGCTCTAAGACAGTGCCCAAGCTATAAAACACATACAGCAAATACACATATGTGTATTTACTCCCAGTTTTCTATATAAAAGGATATAACCATTAAGTCATATTGCCACAAGCATCCTCACGCGCTCTGCCTGTGGACCTTTTGGCTACCAGTATTTAGGTATGCAGGCATATCACTTAGCAATTTGTCTTTTTAATGTCCAGTTTAACCAAAAAATCAAAGCCTGACTATTTTTATATCAGCAAAATGATGACTTAATAATTCTTCCCGAATTGATTTCTGTCACAGTAAGTTTTCAAACATTATTCAGACTCATAAATCGTTCCTGTTTAGAATATAACTATTAAGGATTTGTGAGAATGACAATAATGGTTTTGTTCTGGTTTGGTCTGCTTTCTCTGTTTAACAAACATACACAGAATATATTTTATGCATCCTTTACACTTTCTAAAGCATACATTTTCAAGAAATAATATTGCTTGTTTGCACATCGATACCTGTGTATTCTAGTAATCTTTTTCTTTAGTTCTTTGGTTGTCCCTCACATCAGTTGTAGTTGATAAAGAAAACTGAGTTCACTGCTATTATTGCCTGCTTCTGTCTCCCCGTGCTTGTGTCCAGCCCCGCTCTATCTTTTGTCACTCTGTGTCCTGCCTGTGGTTTCTGTTTGGAGGCTAAAACGGATTTATGACTTGTTATTTATGACTTTTAAGAGACTTTCCACCTTCTGCTCATCAGGTAGTAGTGAACAGAGCATCGAAGAGAACAATGGGAAACTTAGATTCGATTATAAGAACATGGGAAAGTGAATAAGACTCTTGCTTTGATTATACACACAGCAGTTTACGATCTTCACTTCTACATTTCAACTAAAATGCAGTAAGAGAGCGGTTTTGGTAAATCTTAATTGACACTTTAATGATCCAGAAGTTGGGTGCGGAGGTGAGCTGAGGAAGTCCATAGTCTAAATAGCCTTATGAATAGTTTCTTTCCTTTTGGCTGTTGTTTAAACAACAGCAGGGAAAACCCAAGGTCCACGCCCTTTGACCTGGTAGAGAATGGATAGTGGATGGGGGTGCAGAATGCCCCTTCATAGAGATGAAAGGACAGACTGTTTTCTGTATAAGGAAGAAAAGAAAAGATCCTGCTTCTCTAACCTGAAGAACACACAACCTTAAAGGAACAAAATCATACTAAACTCAGTCAGAGCAGGCGGATGATCTTCACTGAGTTATAATATTGTAGTTATATGGGAATCGGTCCAGTCCAATAAAGACTGATTAATGTTGTGAATTGAGTATTTGGTATTTGGCAACACAAATCTTGCAAGAGCTTCTATTTTCTCACTGTAGAACTTAGTGTTGTGTATATTTTTAAACCCCAGTTTCTGTCTTTGCCTATATCGCCTCCAAATCTCCTCATTATTAACATTTTCTTTGCAGTAGTTTTACATTTGAAACAAACAAGGGTGTGGTTTGTAATATACATCGAACATTAGTGGTTCTGTTTTCTTTTCTCGAGTCGGTGATCCTAACCAAATCACCAGACGCACTATTTAAGCTCGGTAGCAGCACTTGGCATCAGTGCAGAAGTTGTAGCTGTAGCAGAGGGAAAAAGGAGAGTGTGAATGGATGGATCAATATTTCTTAGCATTCAACCAAGATCACAGGTATTCCACATGCTTCATCAAGGGCTTTGAAGCAAAGTAAACATACAGTACAGTCTGGAAAGAAGCAACTGGGGAAATATCAACACCACTTAATCTTATTTATTCATTATTCAACAGTTTCTGAATGTTGTTAGACAGCAAATTTCATATTATGTCATCATAAGCTTGTTCTGTACGGGAGTTTTTAACGATGGCTTTGCTGACGTTTTTGTCCAAGATGTCCATCAATCAGTCTCCGCTGTTCATTATTGATTATTGGTTCATATATACATCAGTATATAAATCAGTCACAGTTTGACTACAGAAGAAATGAGCTCAAACATAGTTTCAACAACAGTGACATTTGTTCAGAAGCACACATGGTGAAAGAGACTCTACAAACTGGCAGAATTATTTAAAAACATTCCTATCAGGAAGTGATTATGGTATTGTCGTCATTAGCCAAGCTTCTGTGGTCTGATGAAACCCACAGAAAAAAGAAATCCACTGTGACTGGGGAATACTGAAGTGGTTTGGTGGTACTGGTAGCCTCGTACATAACTGCCTGCTCCTCTGTAACCTCCCACTCTGTGGTCATTGCCTTGTAAGCTGTGTGATATGCAGAGAAGGCTGTGTTTGATAGCTCAACCGCTTGGGTTGACCACAGCTAAAAGGACCGTGCTCTCCCAGGAGTGTGGAGGGGGAGAAGGTGTCCATTCAAATAAAACAAAAGGCAGTGGGAGAAGCTAGAAAATCTCCTCACTCTTGCTGAGAAGTGGAATGTGAGGGACAGTTGTACTTTTTGAGGTGCTGATATGTTAGTGACACCTCCCTTCAGCATCTATCTTACAAGTTATTTATTTTAAAAAAAGATCACATTTTTGTATTTTATTGCCTGTAAGTGTGCATGTTTTACTTCAGTTTGCACAGACTGCTTACAAAAATGTTATTCAAAATTTTTGTTGTAATTAGCTTGAGGTCACACGTGAAATTATGCTCTAACTGGTCAGGAGCCACGTGTTCACATAGACACAAACAGTGTGCTCATTTGTTAACAACTGATTTTGAGCCTATAATGGCTGAAATAAAGTGTATGTCTGTCACTGGATTTTGCAGTTTGAAGTTTTCAATGCTGTGGAGAAGCCATTTTTATTTTTGCTAACCTGTTTAAGTAAAACAGCGGATGACGAGAGCATAATTTATAGTTATACTATAGTTACTGCAAACACACACATCCTCTGTAAATCCTGCCTATCTTAAGGTGAAAAACATGATTTTTCACCTATGATATCATCAATCACTCAAAAAGTGGATTCATATATATATATTTATATATGGAAAGAAAGAATAAATAGCTCTCACTGCCACATGGTGCTGCTACTATGAAAGCTTCCTGCCGTCAAACAGATGCTCCTCCGTATCAGAGTTTCTAACTGTCATGTGTTCACTTTCTGTGTTGGAAGTCTTCCCGGCTGCTCCATTCTATGCTCTGTCTCATGTGTAATAATGGGAGGAGTCTTGGGGTGTCAGTGATGATGAATCAGGACCCTGCTGAGCTCATTAGGTAGCCCACGCTGGCTTTGCATCAGTGATGCTGCTGGGGGGGTGCGACAATCAGTTCTGCTAGCTGCTTCTCACTTACCAACATGTCCAGTGGGGAGATTAATATAAAACCATTTAAATATCTAGATGTTATTTTTTGGTTTGTTTTTTTCTAAAAACATTTCACTGCTTTTTAAAAATTATTATTTTCCTTTAAACATATAATAAATATCACATTTACTGTGGGTCACGCCATTTATGTACCAGACCAGATGAGCAGCCAAAAGGCTGTCTGACTGTTTGGTTTTCAGAGTGGTCAGTAGAACCAGATCTATCTATCGAGTATGCTGAGGGGTGTAAAAAAAAAAAAAGAAAAAAGGAAGACTTGTGTTGATATCTTAGGATGCTATTTTTTGTGTGTGTTTTTCTTCACCCCGGGGCAATACTCCACTCATCCCTGCGGTATGTTCCCCCCTCCTTGTACCCCCTGTACGCGTGCAGACACTGGAAGGCAGACTTAACTAGGGAGGGGGAGTAGAGATGAAAAAGGGTGGGAGCAGAGGGGCATGGGAGACTTGCACGGGCATATGACTTTGAGACTGCACTGTCACACACTGGTTAGATTGGCTGAGTTGCCGGAGAACAGTCAGAAGCGATTAGTGTAGCAGAGGATATGCCCTGCGGCTTTTCCCTCTCTGGAGCAGAAGAAAGGAGAGGAGAGGAGAGGAGCAGACCAGTGATGAGGATGAGGGGTGGAGAGGGAACTGTGTGCCTCCCTTTGATACAATTAAGCTGAGCAAGACCTTTTCTCTCTGTCTTTCTTACACAGCTATCATTTTAGTGGAGATTTGAATATTCTTTGGGTTCAGTTTCTCTGGCCGCTATATGTCAGTGTCGGTGCGTATGTAGTTAATTAGAATGATTAGGTCAGTCTGAATCTAATGTGCTCGTGTTACATACTTCAAAAGTTGAAGTAAGAATACAATTTTATGCTGGTTAATTATCGTCATGTTGAAGTTAGCAGTGACAGCAGCTGGACAAACAAACAGGAAGACAGCAGCAGGGGACGGAAGCAGCAGGAACGCTATCCTGTCTGTGACTTACAGCTGGTGGACACCATCCGTAAAACTCCCACAGCCCCTGGAGCCTGACCCTGGAACAGGGCTTTTTAGTGTCAATATTCATTAGCTGAAATATTTATGCATGAATATGGCTCATATAGGCACATTTGATTGATGCATCTCTAAAAACAAAAAGACATACTAGGGCATTTCTTAAGAAAAGTAGGGTTCCTGTCTCGCCTCAGGGGAGGAGTCTCTCAGATGCATTATTCACATACCCTCCAGGCAGGCTTTCAAGGCTTCTCTGCCCCGAGGGCAAGAAAAATAACCACCACTGTTAAAAGTAAATCATCTCGCATGATGCACAATTAATGTCAGAGAAGGAGAGAGACCAGAGTGCCCCTTGTGTTGCAAGTTGGAGTGAGTTAGCTTGTGGGAGCGGAAATCTCAGCTTAAAGGAAGCCTCCTGCTTTGACCCGCGCCAGCTTCCTGCTGAAATCAAACAGAGATGCTGCTAATAGCAGGATCCAGAGCAGGAATGATGCTGTGATGCAGACAGCCTGATACTTGTATTGTTGATGAAGGGTGGGGGAGGGGGAGTGTGTGTGTTGGATGGTCATACTGAACTGCAAGGTGAAGGATTCACGCTCTAACAACCCATCCACCCACACCCCCTCGTTCTGCCTTAGTCACCCATACAGACACATCGCTGTGACTTTAAACACACTGGGTTCATACTTCATTTACAAGCTAGGCTTTCTGTTTTTGTTTGTCCCCACTTTTACTTCAGTCCTGCTTCAAACAGAGGTCACACACACATAAGAGTACATAGAGCACAGTCTGACTGCATTTTGAACATTCATTATCTCATGTCAGCCGCACAGCTCCTGCAGTCATTACCTCATGTCAAAGCCGTGGCTCACATTGAATTAATAACTCTTGGTTTTACTGAGCTCCTACGCTACAAACTCCTCTTCATTATCCAGTGGCCGGGAAGTAAAGCAGAGGTGAGACAAAGAAATTTGTACTGCCGTGCCATAAAGGAGAACGTGGCTCTATAGAGAGATCGGGCCACGTTAAAGCTTCCTTATAATATGACTCCTTTTGTTTCTGATTGCAGGTGACGGCCTTGACAACAGCTTGGCATCACCAGGCACGGGAGATGAGGATGACCAAGACAAGAAGAGACAGAAGAAACGAGGCATCTTCCCCAAAGTGGCGACAAACATAATGAGAGCGTGGCTATTCCAGCACCTTACAGTAAGCGAACAGAGCCTCATTCAGACAAGCCACATCTAGCTGTGGCTTTTTATACAACTGCAACATTTTCTCATCTTCTCTGTAATAGAAGCCCTACAATGTGCATGAGGACAGAATGCAATGTCGTCCAGCTAAGGCCGCGTCATCAGGAAAAAGTTGTTTGAAATGAGTCCTCACTGTTTTTCTGTGTTTTCCAAATGCATCTTGAAACCATGTTCATCTTTGTTCCATTGCAAGAGAACGGAGCAAAGAGGAACTTGTGACTAAAGGTCCCTTTTTTGAAATAGCAGTCCAGGCATTTTCTTCAGAAATCATCATCAGAAGCCTTTCATTCAAAAGAAGCTCAGCTCTGTAGAGATGTTGAGCACATCCAACAAGGACAGCATCACGTTTTATCCAATGATCACAGCCTCCTCACCTTTTCTACCTCTTATACTCTTAGATGTGCTGTAACCCCTCACTTGTTTAGTTTGTAAAAGGCCCACACAGGTCCTGGACTTGGAGTAATCCCTTCCTTTCCAAAGCCCACCTTTAGATTCTGTAGATAAAGACAAGGATAGTTGAATTATCCCCTCTGTGTTCCCATCTCCTTTCAGGCCTAATTTGTTAAGCACAAGTATTTGCCATGGCAGGATGTGTCTATGAAAAGTGTGCAAGGGGACTTTGGCCCCTCAAAGGCCTTTTGCAACACCCAAGCGCTCAAGCATTCATCACTTGTTGAGGGTGTGAAAGGAGCGGGATTATGTTTTGTCAGACATTACAGTGTGAGGCCTGTGGTTAGATGTCTGTGGGGGCAGTGGGGATGTTTCTATCCATCAGTAGCTGTCCCCTCCTGCTTTTGTTATCTCTTCTTAAAGCTCTTAAAGGTTTTGCGAGAGTGCTGTATAAAAAGCAGCAGTGCAAGGATTTAATTCAGTAGATTATCCGTTACCTGCTTATTAGCAGAACGATATCTATTGGTTTCCATGCAAACCTTTATCTCTCTACATTCAAAGATTGGTGTCAGAGTTTGTAGAGCAAACTTTCACAAGTGTTCATAAGTGTCAGCTGAAAAGATGTTCTCTCACCTTGAATTTAAGCACTTGTTTGCATGTAACACCCATGAATGGGGCTACATGGAGGTAGAGCAGGAAGGTTGGTGGTTCAATCCCCGTCTACTTCAGTTTGCATGCCAAATATCCTTGGGGAGGTTTCTAACCCCAAGTTGCTCAATCGGAGTGTAAATGTGTGAATGGCTTTGAGTACTATCCAATAATTTTATATACCACCCGGTTAAAGCTAAATGCTGTGGCACAAAGCCACATGCTTTAGTGTAAAATGTTTGGGTGCCAAAACAGTAGAAAGGTGCTGTATAAAAACATTCTGTTTGCTGTTTACTAATCATTTACAGCATCTTTCTTGGAGTGAGAAAAAGTCATTCTCAGTGTGGCCATTTGTACTGGAGAAAAAGCTGAGAAAAAGAGTTAAGTTATCTAACATTGAATCCAAAACAATATTATCTAAAGTACATTATGTTACTTCTTTCAGAGTATTTTAAATGCTACTCTTCTGCCAGCTGGGCAAAAAGCATCCTCAGTACATAGACTGTGTGTGTGTTTTATTACAAGTGTGTGACTATCCACCATCACACACTTGATTTCACAAAGCTAACTGTGCATTTTCCCCTCTGGTTATTAAAACGGGTGTCTTTCTTCCTCTCTGTGCATCTCTTGTGATATTTGGAGGCCTACTGTACAAATGCTTGCGTGTGTATTTGTAATGTATATGGTTGTGTTTAAGCTTGTAAGTATATGAGTGTGTCTTTGTGGACGTCTGAGAATGTAAATGTAATAATATACAGTGCTGTGAAAAAGTGTTTGCCCCCTTCCTGATTTCTTGTTAATATTTTGTGTATGTTTGTGTTTGATGACCTAAACTATTTAAGCGTGACAAACATACAAAAAAAAAAAGGAAATCAGCATGTGTGTGTGCTTGCACTGACTTTCCCTGAAAAGTAGTTTAAAGCTCATCCTTCAATGATGACTGCGGGAGATGGCCTGACAACAGCAGAATGGAGACTGGCCCACGACCCTGCTTTGAGTAGACAGGTCACCTCTGTCTGCCATCTGCCACCCTTCTCCCAGAGTCTCACACACACTCAAACACAGAGTTTGCAAAAGGACTGGGGCCAGAGGAAAAGAGGTTGAATCAAGACAGGGAGGGTTGGGGAGTGGCCTGGCCTTACTGGGTCCCAAATAAAAGCTACCATTGTATACCATCCAATAATTTTATATACCACCCAGTTAATGCTAAATGCTGTGGCACAAAGCCACATGCTTTAGTGTAAAATATTTGGGTGCCAAAACAGGACCAAGTTGTGTGTTTGCAGAGTTGATTTGTGCATCACTTATCTATTAGTTTATCTTCCTTTTTTGCTAATAGCACCCATACCCATCAGAGGAACAGAAAAAGCAGCTAGCACAGGACACAGGTCTCACCATTCTTCAAGTGAACAACTGGTAAGTCAAACCAGATAAGTAAGCATCTTCATATATGTTCGACATTTGATTTACATATCTAGTCACTTGATTGCAGTCGTTGCTTTGTGCAGTGCAGAATATACATAAAACCTGACTTTTGCTGCTGAAAATGCCCAAATTACCTGTATTTAACACATAAGTAATGCTTATGAGTTAAATACAGGTCATTTTAATACTTATAATAAGTATTATCATTACTGAATGAACGGGTGACACAGGGTGGTGCAGTGGTTAGCGCTGTCCTGTCACAGCTACTGGTCTGAACCCAAATCAATACATGTGTAGGCTGTGCTACTTTCTCAAAGTGACCCAAATTATTCTAATAAGGAAAAAACAGGCTTTTGGTCAGGTCCCTGGAGACACACGGAAAGGTTCCAAATTACAATGAAAGTGTTCACAATTACTGACTACCCTAGGTGACAAAACACTTCGTCTTCTTCATTTTTGATAATTACAAGAGGGATGGCATTTTAGAGGATGTGTTTTTACAGAGAATGCACTTAATTTCTGTGCAAAGTTATCAGAAATCTCTGTGTACTAACACCACTGGGAAAGAAACTAACTGTAATTTTTTTTTTTTTTTAAAAAGTCAAAAAAAGTATTATTTCACGTCAGGGTTTTTTTTTTCTTCTTTTTTTGGATCATGTATCTGTTCTCTATGGTCAAGAATATTGAACTTAATAAAAAATATTTAAGCATTTTCATTGTTACTGATCTTTGTTTTCCAGGTTTATCAATGCAAGGAGGAGAATAGTCCAGCCTATGATTGACCAGTCAAACAGAGCAGGTTCAGTGTTCACTATACTGCTAATAGTTCCTTTCCTTCAATATGAATTGGGGTCGAAATTTAACCTCAAGTTAACCAATAGTTTTATTTCTCATCTTCTCTCACAGTAAGTCAGGGTACAGCTTACAGTCCAGATGGCCAGCCAATGGGAGGCTTTGTTCTTGATGGGCAGCAGCACATGAATCTTCGACCTGGTGGTGAGTAATCACTCAAAAAGTTATTTAAAAAAATAATCATGACAGACAAAATCAGTGTAACAGGTTTCATCTTGTCCTCGTGAGTTTCTAAGGTCAAGTAAAGTAAACCTTGTTATTTGTCCTTATCTTAATGAAAATGAGGGCATGGTTAAATGTCCAGTGGACAGAAAATAAGAGTATGTGGGTCAGGCCAGTGCGTAGGTCGAGAAAGTCCATTTGCATGCGTATAAGTGTATTTTTATACATTTACAGAGAGACATATAAGTAATACTGAACATAATACAAAAACGTAGGGCAATCGTAGCTCAAGAGTTGGGAGTTTGCCTTGTAATCGGAGGGTTGCCGGTTCGAGCCCCGGCTTGAACAGTCTCGGTCGTTGTGTCCTTGGGCAAGACACTTCACCCGTTGCCTACTGACGGTGGTCAGAGGGCCCGGTGGCGCCAGTGTCCGGCAGCCTCGCCTCTGTCAGTGCGCCCCAGGGTGGCTGTGGCTACAATGTAGCTTGCCATCACCAGTGTGTGAATGGGTGAATGACTGGTTGTGTAAAGTGCTTTGGGGTCCTTAGGGACTAGTAAAGCGCTATACAAATACAGGCCATTTACCATTTACCAAGAAGGACAGGATAAAGATATAAAGTGACACAAACCAGGTTTTATATGTTAGGAAGTGGCAACAACCATAGAGGAACATGTCTATATTATCTATGTCTATAGTCTTCATTGAAAATGCAAAAAAGAACCAAAAGTCAAAGAAGACTTATATAATAAATGCAACATTTGATTCAGAACACCCCCACTTTATGAGTGAAACCTATCATTAAACAAGTAAATATAAAAATAGTTATGTTGTGTATTTTTACTCAAGAAAGGTTGATGCTGAACTTAAAAGTCCTTTATGAATATTTTGAAAAATTCAATTGGTTTCTGTGATACTGTGCAGGACTGTTCTGTCTTGTGTTGGTGGTTCTTAACAGTGTATTTACTTTACTTGCAGGGCCGATGGGTAGCATGGGTATGAATATGGGGATGGATGGGCAGTGGCACTACATGTAAATTCACTCCACTGAGGCAAGCCTGAACAACAGGGTGAAGTAAGAAGTCTTTGTCACTTTTCATTTTGTTTCATCCCAGAAAAGCAATTTTGAACTCTTGAACTCACTTCTCCTTATCTCTTATTACTTGGTCTTCCACTCTCCTCTTTCAATTTGTTTACAGTCTAACATAGACACAGGAAGGTCTTTTAATTGTCATGGTAATGCCAGCGTTAGGTATCTCAGCATGAACTTATGGAATTAGAGATTTTCAGTTATTCTTTTACAAATAGATATGAAACTGAAATAAGAAAGAATGTCAGTATCTTCTTAATGGTTTCACAAATGACATTGACATGACAATGTTCATGCATTGCACGAGGCTTTAGGATTGGTGCCGTGTCAGACTCCTTTCTTCTTTTTTTAAAACAATTATTTACATATAAACTATATTATTTTTGTAGATGATTATTTCAGTCAGTCCAGATTTTAAAAATTCGTGGTCAGTCAGACCGTCTTTCAGAATAAAAAGCAGGTTTTTTTTCTCAGTAAACAGTCATTGTGGGGGAAACAGATTCACACTCCATTTTAAATCTAACTTCAACCACTTTCTCTCTCCCTCTCCACCCCCAACCCGCCAGTTTTGTCCTCATTCTCTTCTCCCGCTGCAATCTGATTAAGAATCGGGTAATGCTCCCCCCTCTGTCTCCCCCTCCACCCTCTATCAGCTTCTCACCTCTGCTGACAGTTCTCAAATCAAGACATATCGCCTGCCGGAGGCACCAACCACAGAGAATTTTATTTAACACCCACTCTCCTCTGCTCAATGAGCCATGCTGTAATGACACTTACCTTGATTAATAGAGCTTTTTATATGTAAATAGGAGCTGCATTTGCTCATTTTTTTAGCAGGGTGATTTTTTTTTTTTTTTTGCCCGTGCAGCCCTCTCTTCCCTGTCTAATAATTCCAGGGCTCTGTTAATGAAGTTCACAAGGCTTAATTTAAAACATACATCTACATAGAAACATTGAGCGCTCTGAATCAGTGCTATCTGTATATTTTTGTAAGGTATTTAATTTAACTATTTCTCCATGAATGATCACTGACTGTCTAGCTTATCCTGATCTCTGCTGAGTGCATATGCTGATAGTGGCAGTAAATCTCTTCCAGACTGCATCAAGAAAGAGAGCTATGTTTGGAGTAATATGAGGGTTTTTCCACGCACAATAAAGCCTGAACCATAACATTTAGCCATTACAGAACAGATGACTGAATCTACACAATTTTATACTCCTCTGTTGTGCACTCTTTTTTGATTGGTCCACCATATGCTATGTTATGTACTGCACATGTCAGTTTTAAACTAATAGCAATTTTTGTTGGATTAAAACAGAAACACTCTTTGAGGTAATGTTTGAATTTACAGAATCAGTTTAGTTTAGGGTTTGCTACTCAGGCAACAGTTTAGTCAGTTAGATGTATTGTGTCACAGCAGACAAAATATTAAAACCCAAAACAAAATAGCTTCAGTTCATTAAAAATATTAAGCAAAACAACAATGCAAAAATGAAAAAATAAGGGACTCATTTTAGTAGAAAAAAAATCGATTCAGTTTATGTATATAGCACAAATCACGTTGTGCTATAAGGACCTTGAGGCAACAAAGTGAAATAATGCAAGAGTCTAATCAGCTAAATAATGATAATACAAAATATAATCAAAAATAAACAAGTATTGTGGTAGGCTTAAATGGAATAGACTCCAGCCGTACCAACAAACACGCACACACACATTCTGATGACTGTATCAGGTATAACTTTAATATCTTGCTAAATGACACTTTGACATGTGGATTGCTGTTCCACATGTTCCCCTCAACCTCCTGAGCCACAACTGTTTATGAAGTGGTGACGATGATTTGTGCTTGTAACAGCAGAGCTGAAACAAATGCTCGATAAAGTGTTCGGCTGCATGTCTAGTCAGTTGTGTATAGTGCTATCCAAGTCCATTTAATCACAAACTTCATCATAGCCACCAGGGGAATCCAAGCAGTGCATATATTCAGATTGAATCCAAAATGATTTCAAATGACAAAAACAAAATAGAGTTCCTTCAGAAATATGGATTAATTCTCACAGCTAGCAGTTCAACAGTGTTACATGAAACATATTAGTCCGCTATAATGTGTGACATTTCCCTGCTCATTTACTCCTTAGTACGAAAGAGGATTAGGGCCACTGGAAAAAAAAAGTGAACACGTCACGTCTTTTTTTTTTTCTTCTTTTTCAGAATTCTGAGAAAAAAGTCAGCATTCTGACTTTTTTCTTAGAATCCTGACTTTTTTCTCAGAATTATTTTTTCCCAGAATTCTGAGATTAAAGTCAGAATTCTGACTTTTTTCCTCAGAACTCTGGAAAAGAAGAAGAAAAAAAAAGACGTGCCCATTTTTTTTCCCCCCAGTGGCCCTAATCCTCTTCCGTACCTTAGATTATCATCTTGTCTGAGAGAAAAATACCAAAGACAGGTGGGTGTTCTTTCTCACAGTATTTCCTCTGGATCTTCTAGGACCTATATAGTTCATATTTTGTCTCATACATCTGTGAAAAGAATTTGATTTCTTCCTGATTTCTAATTTGTTTGCATAGTTGCCACACTTGAATATTTCAGATCATTGTTCTGTTGCATAACCCAAGTGTGCTTAAGCTTTAGGGCACAAACTGATCTTTGATGAATTCTGCTCTCTACCAGAAAGTCATTGGCCAAGTCATCCAAGTCCTGAAGCAGCAATGTAATCCCAGACCATTACACTACCAATGTTCTTTTTATGAGAGGTGTATGCTAGTTTTATGTCAGATGTAATCGGATGCAAATCTTCCAAAAAGTTCCCAATGTGAAAATGTGAGACAAGGCTTTGTGTTCTGTTTGGTCAACAGTGGTTTTTACCTTGGACCTCCCAACAGATGCCATTTTAGCCCAGCCACTTTCTTATTGTTTAATCATGAAAAGTGGGACCTGCAGGTCTTTGGATGTTGTTATAGGTGCTTTTGTGAGTTCTTGGAGACTTGTCAGTCCGTCTTGGAGTAATTTTGGTAAGCCGACCACCCCTGGAAAGGTCCACCACTGTTCCAAGATTTTCTATTTATGGATAATAGCTCTCACCATGGTTTGCTAGAATCCCAGAGCTGTAGAAATTATTTTGTAACTCTTTTTAGACTGATAGATGTCGGTGGTTTTGTGTGTCATCTGTTTCTTTAGATCATAAAAGATTTTTGAGATCTTTTACCCTGCTTCACTTTGTCAGACAGGTTCTATTTAAATGATTTATTGATCCAACAGGTCTGTCAGTACTCAACCCTGGTGCAGCTAGTGAAACTTGAGCTTTCCAGAAATTGTTGGTTAATCTTTGTGACAAGGGGGTTTTAATGGTTTTTTCCCCTTAATAAATGAAATAATTATTTTAAACTGTATTTTGCATTTACTTAAGTATCTATCTGTAACATTACAATTTGTTTGATGATCTGAAACATGTATGACAAATATGCAAAACAACATTTTTTTCACATTACTTTATTTTATGAATTCACTCCTCTAGCTGACAAAGCCCATCCTCAGTAGCTCCTTGAGGATTGAAGGCCTTACTTCAATCTTACTAAAAAGCAAAAACCTAAAACAAAACACAAGTAGACTTGTAAAACCTGACAAGACTTGGAAAAGAAAAGTAGCTACTATCCCTCAGGACAATTGAGAGCAAGATAAACTAAGTTTGTCAGGTCATTAAGTGTTGTGGAAATGGAAGCTGCTGTGTTACAAAGCACACGCCAGAAAACATAAAAGAAATTGACCTGCACTGCCTTTGCCACAAACCCTTCGACCGCACAGAGGCTGTAAATGACTTTCATAATAAAAGCTGAAAAGCATCAGTAGCAGTTTTTTTTTCTGGCACTTGTAAAATATGACAGTTTCTCTGATATATATTATTCACTATCGTGTGGCTATCTCACTAGCTCACTACTACTATTGTGACTACTACTGTGTGAACAGGATGCCTATCAGTGGTTTGGCCTTTCAAAATAAAATTCTCTTGAATGCTAAAAGACAGGACAGAACAAAAGCCACGCTGTGGAAGAGAGCCAGAAATAAGTAATGATTCAAGACAGAGAGGTGTATAAACACATACTGAGTGAGAAAGGTGACTGAAGAAGAAATACTCTATTCATCATGGAAATCCACCTGCAGCCTACACCTATTCGAGAAAAATGATCTGAATTTCCAGAGCGGGACCACGCCTCCAAACACGGCCCTTCCAGTTCTTATATTATATTTGACCCCCAAGTTCTACAAGCTGTTTGTTCCCGTTTTCGTGAGAACACGGTTCGTTCTTGCTCTTTCGAGAAGATCTTTAACACAGCTTATCTCACAAGAGTAACATAATTTTACTCACCCTTCCATTTGCTTACAATCGCCCTCTTGTCCATCACCACATCAGATGAAGAACTACACAGCTCTGCTTCATCGGTTTCCCTCCAGGCAATCCAAGAAACCCAAACACTCTGAACATCATGGCGGTGCTTCAGAGTAACCGAACGCCGCTGACACCTGCCGTCCCAGGAAACTTTCTAGCAGTTTTCTTGCCAGCCAACAATCCGGTCTGCTACATTGATCCATCCAGTCATTTTCTCTCCGCTAGATCCAGTTAGGAAGTAACTCCGGCCGCTCGCCACCTCTGTGAAATTCAGCAAAGTCACCCACCAGCAAGTGGTGAGTTAGCCGAAAAGCCAACGGATGCCAGTGCTGGACCCAGAAGCCATGCCGTTCCCACGCCGTTCCAGTAAGGTCTCCCGAATACACTTCCTTTAAGGATTCAGACTGATTCTTTCTCAGTCTTTCAATTCAACCAACCCTTCCAAAACTGCTTACTGTCACCTTCGTTTCAGAAATTGGCACAGTAGTTATCGCTGCCTTATCCAAAGTAAATTAACCAACCAGGCATCCCCTCTCCATCTTCTACTCCAAGACAAGCTCACGAGCCGTCAAGCCATTACCACAAGTCTCAAAATCCCGGCATGTGTCACTGTCAGAGCTTCTGTACAGAGTCTAGCCACATCGCTACCCGATCGAGAGTTCCCCTCATTCATCTATCAAGGTCTTTCATTGTCCAAAATTTTCTTTGATCTCTTCTCCCACCATTCCTTCCCAATTTTTTGAGCTCATCCGCTCCACTCTATGGAATCCTCGACAACCTTATTGAGGCCATGGGCTGCTTATCTGCGCTATGCCTACCAGTGATGTTACTGCAGAGGTCTTTGACCTTCATACCACACAGTATGAATAGTTATTATTACTGTTATTAGTTATTATTATCACAGTTATTACTGCTTCTCGTACAAGATGCCTTCATTGGGAATCTGCCAGGCCCAGGAGCCACCACCAGTCCCCTCCAAGGCCTTCCCCAAACAGCAGCTCAATTCATGTTTAAGCCATTTGCCTTTATCTACTAAACAAACGCTGTCTAAAATGAGGATGTGGGCCTAGCAGGGAATTGTAGCATAACTAAGGGAGGATTCAGGGTCACCTGATCCAGCCCTAATTATATTTTTTATCAAAAAGGAGTGTTTTAAGCCTAATCTTAAAAGTTGTGGTATCTGTGTCACATCTGCTGAGGTCTACGCAAACAAACAAAAGTGAGGGAAGAATGAGATAGAACTAACAAAACCTAAACTGGGAGAAGCTAAACACAAAAGCACGAGATGCATAGAAAAATAATACAAG